AGCAGGAAGCATGAATTTGGTGAGCACAGTCCCCGAGAGCGGGAAATCTAAAAACAGCTCACACCTATTTCTACATATCAAATTATGGTTTTAGTTTTATAAACTGAAAATCAGGAAAGGCCTAATTTTATAAACTGAAAATCAGGAAAGCTACAAACCAAAAATTTTGTGAGATGATTTTACTAAGTAATTCGATCAGTATCTTATCCTAGTCGAATTCTAAAAAATTTTCGACATCACAGTTTCTTCTAAAACCAAGGTGCTGAAAACAGTCTTGGAAAACTTTTAAAAACTGTGGCTGGCAGAACTGTGAAAGTAGGTGACAAAATGCATTCAAATGCGTGTTGGAGGAAGTTTATGGAAAATGAAGCCAAACCCACGCTGCAACGCACTAGGCGTACCGGCGTTACCCATGCATTTTTGCACTAAACTTGAAGCAGTCAGATCACAAACTGTATGAACGGTTACTGCTTTACACTTATTTTGCTTGCTCACTAACGTAAATCGTCTTAAAGGAAAATGAACCGTTTTTAACGTCGTTCTTTGACAATGACCCAGCTGTCCAGTGAGCAATTTTCCGACCAAAACTTTTAAGTGGCCTTACGTGAGAACCAAGCATGCCTGGAGACAGAATTTGAATCTTTTTGTCATACTTGGATAGGAAATATCCCCTTAAGATTTCAGTCGTCCAGCTTCTCTGGTTTCCGAGTTAACAATTATCCCATCAAAAATTTTCACGTGCTCGAGTGTATGAACCACAAACAACTGAGGGTGAATTTGGAATCTTTAAGTTCCACGTGGATGGGAAACACCGCCTTAAAGTTTCAGCCTCCTAGCTTTTCTGGTTCCCGAGCGGAAAATCTCCCCGCCCAACCTCCCATGTGCTCGCATCCGAGGCTCCAACATATGTGAAGATTGGTATCGCGATCTTGAGGTGTCACTTAACTGGGGAACTCACAAGCTGAATCCGACAATTACTATACCTCGGCTCTGCTCGGCCGGTGCTCTGAAAGCGCCCTAGCTTCTCTGCCAATGCTGTTTTGCGGTACCGTTGCCGACACCGCTTGGTCCTTTGCCAAGCGCGCTGGGTAGCGCTACCCAGCGTTCGACAGGTGGATCGCGTGATGGGGGGGTGGCGGGTTGGACGTAGCTGGGAGGGGAGGAGAGAGGTGCTGATTGGTAAGTGCCCAAATGTAGCTCGGAGACAGAGGTTGGTGAGTACCCAGATGCAGCTCGGAGACACTAGTCAGGAATTCGGAATGATAAATGGTGACAGTGGTTGGTGATGGATAGTGGGTGATGGATGCACAGATGCCACTCTTGCTGGCAGGATTTGGGGTCGGGGTAGAGAAGTGGAAGAAGTGCACTAGTCAAGAATTCGAGGCAAGAACTGGAGACAGCAGTAAAAAGGAAGAGA